GGATATGTAACTACCTATGGTGGGTGGACGGGAGCCATGGCTGGCCCTTTGACGCACACCCCTCCCCTCCCCTCCCCTCCCCTTCATCAACCTGCCGTCTGAGCCCTCGGCTGCACGGCTCGATCGGGCGGCCCTGGCCCCTGGTCGCGGGCGCGCGGCAGACGGGATTGCGGCTTGGCTCGGAGGCCGTTCCGGTGATTGGGCTTGGGCTTGGGCTTGGTTGGGTCGGTGGTGTGCCGGTGGTGTGGTTGCACTGGCTGCGTTGATGTCGTGATGATGATGGATAGACGGCTTGTTTGCCTGTCTTTGCTTTGGTTGCGTCTGAACGGACTGGCCTCCGGGCTGCACTGCACTGCACTGGGCTGGCGCTGCGGGACTGGCTTGCCGCCCCTGGCTAAGGCGGCATGGCCCTGCCCTGCACTGCGCGGTACCGGTACCCCTGCTTCTGGGCCCGTCTGTCGCTTTTCTGACGGGTTGGGCGGCAAGCATGCCGTCAATGCTCTGCCACTCGGTGTTGGGCTCTGCTGGGTCTTCTTGCAGCGGTCCGGCTGGAGGGGTGGATGGCTGGCTGGCTACTGTATCTGGCTGGCTTTTTGTGTGTAGGTGGATGGATGTGCGTACCTATGTATCTGTGCCTGGCTGGAGTGGTTAGGGAGTGCTTTGCTGGGTTTGTGTTGTGGGGGTTTGTGTGGACACTGTGCGCCTCTGTACGGATTATTGTTATGGGGTAGACATTTCATCAACGTCTCTATGCTGCACACGCACCCTTTTAACTCTGCTGTTACACCTCGATCTCTTTGCATCTATAAACAATATGCAGTCCGTAACGGCCTGTGTAGCCCCTTCGATCAACCCGCAGCGCCCAACGTGATAGCTAATAAATGGATGTGCTGACTTTTCTTAGACACTGGCGGACACTGGCGGACACTATCTTATAGCTTAAAGCACAGCTGATCAATACCGCTATGGTAGGGCTGATGTTGATAGTGCTATTAACGTAGTTATTAGCGTTATCGTATACAGCACTGTACTGTCTACTAGATCCTCTTACATCCGCGCTCCCAGCAAATCTCGTGTGGAGATATCTTCCATGGAGCCAGTAAACAATATAAAGTATCCCGTGGGACGAATCTAAACTCTATAAGGTGTTATAGAGATTAAAGGAGTCGGAAAAATAGACAAGAAGGATCTGTAAGTACGTGTATAATCATCACTATTATGCGGCGCTGGTGGTCTACGCTATAACCTTTTACTAATGGCCCTCTTTAAGACATTAAAAGGCTGCCAGTACTATATTCTATCACAGTACCCTATAGTTCCGCAGTCTCTATTCCTCTTCCCCTTACGAAGATGTGGAGCCGGGCCATGTAAGCCACATGGAATATATAAATGTAGGCTGTCTATGGACTTTGTAAATCCTAATATTGTTATAGAAACCCTGTACGAGAGGGCCTTTTAAATAATATTTCCAGCATCGATGCTAGAAAATGCAGACGAGACTCAAGTCTCTTAAACTACAGGGGAAAAACATATAGGAACAGCCTCTACAATATTATTTGCAGACAACAAAAGGAAGACGTATTCACTAAGCCGCTGTTAGTCCATCAAGTCGTTCTTTTCTACACGCCTTCTTGTTTATCTGGTAATAAGTCTCGGCTCCATACGTAGCTAGGAGATCTTAGTTACTCTGAGCTACAACGCCGGTCCTAGCCGTAGCATTAGTAGCACAAGCACACACAGCCACCGAAGGAGTAAACCATAGCCTCATACGGAGTAGGTCTACCAGAACTGGTGCAGCACGCGGCCAACGCGTCCGCAAACCAGCCAGCCAAAAGGCCATTCAATGCAGCGCTCAGACCAAAACCAAAACACCAGCGTGCAAGAAAGTGCGGCATCGACGGGCGTTGCCGGTAGAGGCAGGCAGTCGGCAGACCGCGCGGTCTCAGGCAAGCATGCCATGCCATACCATGCCATCAACCCGTCGTAACTGCCGGCAGGCAGCTAGCTAACTAACGGCTCACAAGCACCCCAGCCGCCTCTTCTCTTCTTTTCGCCTTTCCTCGCCTCTCATCTTCACATCCTTGCCCAGTACCACGCAGCCCCAGCCCAGCCCAGCCCTACACATATGTACACGGTACCATCCACAGCGCGGCCCAAGACGACCCGTCACAAACAGTACCGCACCACACAGCACAGCAGCAGACAGCAGACAGCAGGCCAGCGCGTGCGGCTCTGCCTTACTCAGCGCCTTACTCACCTCAGGGCCGTCGCACACGCTGGTGCCCACCGTTGCGGGGTGCGCGAGAGCGAAGGCACGACAGGCGAGCGAGTGAGTGGGTGGGCGGACGCAGCCGGGCGCGCGCTTTGTAGGGCTGGCGCGCCTGTTGCCTGCCTGCACGCTGGCTTGGGCGTATATATGTATGTGCCTAGCGATGCAGGACGCGTGCGCAGTTTGAGACGACGGTTGAGGCGGCGCATGTAGGTCGGGTATGCGGGCGCCCAGTGAGGTGGAGGGAGGCGCAAAACGTGAGGCGCATAACGCGAGGCACGTGGGACGTGGGACGTGGGGGCGGGGAAGCTAGACAAGAGAAGGGGCGGTGACGGTAGGGCCGGAGGAGGAAGCGGAGGAGGTGGAGAGCTGAGACAAGCTACTCCTAACTATGGGCAAGACAAGACAAGACGGAGTGTGTGTGTGGGTGTGGTTACGCATATGCGCGGGCATGCTGCCTGCATACATGTAGCGGGCGTGCATGGCGGCGGTTTGATCCATACTGCCCGCTAGGTACGGAGTACATACGTAAGCGGGGAGGGCAGGGCATGAGTGTGTGGAGGCGGCGGAGATGGAGGAGGGGGAGTCTGCGCCGCGATTGGGCCCCGCCCTTGCTTTTTCGGGCCCCGTGGGGCTATTGCACTGCACGGCACTTTGCTGCGCTGCACTGCGGGCGGGTTCGCTGCTTACTGAGGTTATTTACGAATGTTCATACATACGCGTGGCTTGTGGCTTTATTACGGACTTGCTTTGGGCCCTTTGCATTGCGTGGAGTTAAATGACTTGGCTGTTTTTTTGGCGTGTTCATTTTGCTTTTTCCCGTGGCTGCGGTAATGTTTTGCTTTGAATAGCATTGCATAGCGGCGGCGGGCGGGCGGCGACGGCGCGGTTAGTACAACTCGTAATGCGTGCCTAGTTCCGTATGTGTGTGTACTATGTACGGGAGTCGGGACGGAGAGCGGCTGATGTACGCAACAGTGGCTAGCTACGTAGCATAGGGCGTGGGCGGCTCTAGTGGTGCTGTGGTTATTTTTTGCGGCCCAATCTACTGGTGCCCGACTGTATATTGCGGTTCGGAGACTTGGGCTAGAAGCCTGGAAATTGCTTTCCGCGTGAGAAGAAGAGCGGAGTTCTTGAGGGTGGTATTTGCTGGCTGGTGCTGAGATCGCGATCTCTGGCCGCTGCTGGAATTTAGTGTGGCCACGTTTGGTTGTTAGGAGCATTTCGCTGCAGATGTCAGGCTACTCGGATACTGGGCTCGGTAGGGTTTCTCCGTACTATCTTTTTCTGCTCTGTCAGGTTTCACACTGCCGTTGCTTCCTCTTCTGCCACATGATCGCGCGGCGGCTGAAAGTCATGTGGAAGTGCGACGTTTGCTTGTGCTCACTCTCTCATTCCTGCTGTCTTCTTTGGTCTCGACCGCCGCCGCGGATGTGATTTCATGCGCGCGGGTCTGGGGCTGGTAACTAGAGGTCACGGTGCCAACACTGGGTTATGACGTGTCAACTCTGTGCGCTTGGTGCTGGTGCTGGCAGATCGTTCCGGCTTGGTGTTGGTGTCATTGTAGATCGGTGCGATACGAGCGCTGCTGCAAAAAGCAACGTATGCGAACGTGAGCTGCTGCGAGCGGATACTGCGGTGAGGCGTTGAGAAGGGAGACGTCGTAAGCTGTTGGCCGGGATGGCGATGGGCGGCTGAGGGGGAAGTGCGTTTTGTGGAGGTTGCTTTCCGGATTGATTGTATGGGGTTTTGGAGGCTTATTTCTATTCTTGCTTTTGTTGTGCAATAGCGTACATTGTTGTGAGACGAGACACTTCGGTCGTGAAAATAGCCATGATCGTATGGAGCAGAAGCTCATTTAAGTTGAGAAATCTCTAAATCGTATACATTCCAAGATTTTCTTGGTCACATCCAGAGCTTGAATTCTTGGTTGGATGTGAGGTTAACTATGGGAACCATTTATACCTTTATAAGAGTATCGAGGCTTTTGTTACGGTGCCTCCATTTTTTTGAGCTATTAAGGTAGAAAATTACGTTAGCATCAGTGTCCGGAAAGACGCAAATGCACGGGTATACGAGCGCAAGAGTATTTCAAGAGAGCACAAAGATAGAAAATTAGGTGAATTAAGAGTGTTCAAAAAATACGAGGGTGCAGATACAAAGTATGCGAGGGTATGTCACAACGGTACGATGGTACGAAGGTTAAAAAGTGAAAAGGCCCAATACCTACACGGACATTGTGTCGCGTGGGATCCTATCTATAGGTAGAGTGAAGCCGTCAAAATGTTTCCCGGACATATCGATCAACACTGACGTAAAGGAACACAAATATGTATTGTTGAGATTATCCGGACGTTTGCTTGTAAGGTCGCTCACTTCAGTAATGACCGTGAGCGAGGGATTTTGTTGTGCACTGCTTTAGCACTAGTAAGTAGGGAGTTTCTCAATGCGCTTTCCTTGTAACGACACTCCGTGAAGCCGCTGGTCATCAGTAAGAAGCAGAAGCCATGAGCGAGTCAGTTAGACAGTGTAGAGGCCCCCGACATTCGTTGAGAATACCAAAGTAGGTTGTCAAACCCTAGGTGTTAGAGATCACCCACCGCCAGAAACATTGAAATCTCAAGGACCTCTTGAATAATTCTGAAACTGACGGCGGTGCAACCAGCTGTAGAAGCTCGAAAAAGGATCGTCAGGCCGTTGGACAAGTCGCCTTCCGAAGCCGTTAGGTCCCTGGTGTCGATCAAGGTAGGTAAAAACGATCTCAGACCTTTCGATGCGACTACCTTCCAAAGCGTAGGCGCATCCGTCCGCGAGCAGGGTTCTTCCAGTCGTATGGTTTGATCCCTCCGTCCTTGATTAGGAATCATGAATTAATGTATCAGCAGCACTCCGTGCCGGTTGGCGAAGACAGCACGCATCGCAAAGAACGCGACAAAGCGCAGACAAGCGTTGCCAACGCGCACGCCATTGCGCCTAGTAAAAACATGTGAATCGTGCGTCGTTAAAGCCGGGCGTGTGTTGTCGCGCTCATGGATGTCCCATGTCGTCGAGAAAAGCGAGCGCGAAGCACACCAGGCATGTCCATCCTTGGGCGATCAGGCCGCCACGGATCGTGGATCTGTTTGACCTCTGCGCAATCCCGGCTGGCTCCAAACAACGATCGAGACCATGATCGAGACGTTGTCGCAGATTGTTTCAGGCTTAAAAAAAAGTCGGTGCCACTTGTCGGACGTTGTGTTGTTTCGTGGGAAGGAGCGACCCAGGAAAATGCTGGATGTTTTGAAGCTCCGACCACACTGTGATAGCGATAGCGAGATCGCCCACGTGACCCCCTTCGCGAAACCTCCAGCATTTATTGTCGAAACAAAGGGTCAGCATATCCTCAGGAGACCAAAAAGTAAAGAGAATCGTCACAGATGGGCGTACCAACGGCCCGTTTTACGGTAAGGATTCTTAGCACCATGCCCTAACCAACTGACGGAGTTTTATATACATATGTAGCTGGCAGGGATGATTTCCCGGTCGTAACCTACTTGGGTAGGTGCTAGTGAGTTTAGAGCAACAACCAGAAGATATCCGGAGAAACTCTCTGTATCACGTCTTCGAGTGGACTTGAAGCATTACTTAAGCAGGTTAACGTTCCTCACGCCTATCCGAAATTCGCTATTGACATTGAGCGAAACCTGCCAATCAGAGCGTATTGCGCGGATTTGGGCCTCGGCTAGAGACGAGGCGCTGAACGGTGAACTTTTGATATGGGGGAGGAACGTTGCCGCCGGCGAAATCCTCTGCTAGCTAAATATGCATCTACTTGGATAACACAGCATGCAGCCTTAATTGTCGAAGGCGGTGAGCAATTAAGGAGGCGGCCACTGAGATCTCTGTATATAAATACACAGATATAAAAAAAAGTCGCAATCTTGCTGCAAAATTTTGTGGCGAATCAGAGGACCGAGAAATAACCGAACGTGGACGTAGAGGGAGGGCTATGCCCTGTAGGAGCACTTGCGGGGTAGTCAAGGTCGAATGGCGAGTTAGTGTGTGGAATTTGGATGGGTGGCTTCGGGATGTATGCTCGTTGCAGAGTAGTAAGAAGCAGCCGGGTTGTTTTGAGTAGAGTGATTTCTGCCATGCGGTCACAGTCGTACGATTTTCGTCTAGCACAACGAGCCCATCCAGACGACAAAGTCGCCGTCTCTCCGCAAGGGTTGCAATGGGTTGAATAATTCGTATGATGACGGCGACGGCGATTAGCTCGTCCGGTGTCGGCGAGGTGGAAATGAACAGGGATGTAGGTGACTAATGAATGCGAGACCGAAAGACAAGCCACGCACACGTACTTGTAGAACGGTCACTCGAGGCACGGTCTTTAGCTCGCTAAAGCCGAACAGATACCAGCAAACTGATCTAGGAAACATTTCGGCCGAGGACAGAGAGAGTGAACGAACAATCCAACATGATAGAGTTTGCGTAAGTCATACGGGGACGCAACAAAGTCGCGGTGGATCTCTCAGGGCAATGGGGCGGCTTGAACCCCACGTGCGGACGTCAGCATCAGCAAGATGGTGGTAGAGATCGGCAGCAGCACCCCCAGATGGCGGGAGCTTGGGGAGAGAGAGGGCGTCAGCAGCTTGGGGAACCGTGGGGGCTGGCTGCATGCATAGAGGGCCGGAGCGACGGGTTCTCGACAGGGCCGACGTTTGGAAGAGCAGAGGAGGGAGGATGACGGGGGGTGTTGCACAGCCAGCAAAGGGCCGTTGTTGTGGCGCGGAGCTGAAGGGCGTGCCAGAGCCGAACGAGGAAGGTGATACAAGCATAAGAAACCGGAGCATAAACAGAGCGGAAAGAGACGGTGTGAGATTGGAAGAAGCGGAAAACAAAAAACTGGGCGCGCGGGCTCATGCGGCGGTCCTGTGATGATTACTACGAGTTGCACAGAAGGACGCTTAGCAGCGGAGGGACGTGGCGATGGTGATGGTGGTCATGGTGGTGGTGACGGGCAGATGCTCGGCGGGCAGGAAATGATGGCATCCAAACGACGGGGTGTCGCAACGGTCGGAGTGAGGCTCAAGGCAAGGGTGGGTGTGCAGAGGGTGGTGGGCGCTGACGTGCCTGGGGGTTCTGCCGCTCGCTTGGCTCGCGCCGTCTGACTTCAGCTGCTCCTCCAGGATTCCGGCAGCGTGTCCAGCTCATCTGCCCTTCATCGTCGAGCGTGCCACCGCCTCCCACACGTGCGCGCCGCGGATCACAGGCCGAGCTTGGCTGGGCGGCATCCTGGCCTGACAGGCATCTCCACGTCCCGGGTCGGAGCCTCTGCGGCCTCGACGGCGCACCCCCCCCAGAGACGAAAAGACACCGACAAATCTCCTTTGCTCCCTTGGTGCGGCCTCGTTGGGCTCCAGCAGCACCCTGACCCAAGCTCGGCACCGTTGCCAACTCAATCCCGTCACCGACCGGTCAACAATGGCAAAGCAGAAGAATACCGTACTTACTTTTACTCCGTATTGCTCTCGCCATGCCCGATGATGAAACGCGCGCGACCTTCTCCCGCAACAAGCTTACGCCATTGCCGTCGGCTGGCGCGCGGCGACCCTGGCACTGATCTGGGGACGAGTGCACGTCGTCGTGGCCGTCGAGACTCGAGCCCGACGCCGTCTCGTTGCCCGATGCGGTAAGATGCGCACCAGCATTGCGATGGTCAGACCATGTCTGGGCGTTCACCGCTGAGCCCCAAAGATTACCGGGTAGCTTGATTCAGAAGCCTTGCAATTTGTGATGTGCGTGACTTCCACGTCGTTTCAGCTTCTATATCCGTAAACTCGGGGTCAGCCAATCAGCGCGCCTGGCAGGAACAACGAGGCTCCGCCACGTCGAAGTGCCTAGCTCCCTCAGCCTTATATCTGCCTCTCCGCTATATACCAGTTCGGGCCCCTCGTCTGCGATTCGACAACGCCCTCCCTCGCCAGATCGACATCGCTTCCCGCCATTCGCTCACTGTCCATCCCTTGATCTTCGGGACTGCCACTCACAACCCACCCTCCACTTCTTTACCCTCCCCCGGGCTCCAATTGCGCCCTCCCCGATGCCCTCCAGAATGTCCGGCTTCTACTACAACGACGCTGATCTCGCCATGATGGACCTCTTCCCCGCCAACACGACCTGTCCGCCTTCGTCCTCGGCCATGTACGCCCCGTGCCACATCCAGCATGTGCCGCAGCGCCCCAGCCTCGACGGCCGCCCGCCCAGCATGCACATGTACATGCCGCATCACCACCAAATGCCCGCGCCCTACCCCCAGCAGGAGTACTGGGCCCCGCCGCCGCCAATGCCCCCGCAGTCCCAAATGCCCATGCCCCCGTACGCCACCCCGACCATGGCCTACGCCCAGCCGCAGGCCCTGACGCCCGAGAACACGCTGCCCTCGAACCACTCACTGCAGCCTCGCGGCTCCAGGTCGCCCTCAGCCTCGACCGGCGCCTTCTCGCCACAACCCTCGATTGACGGCAGCGTGGCCGGTGGCGATTTCTCTCGCTCCATCTCTCCCAGCTCTTCTCCGGACCTCCGCGCCTACGGATACCTGAACAAGAACGGCACCTGGACCTGCGCTTACCCCGGCTGCACCTCGAGGGCCGTCTTCACGCGCGGCTGCGACCTGCGGAAGCACCACAAGCGCCACACCAAGTCCTTCTTCTGCAGGCACGAGGGCTGCCCCCAGGCCACCGGCGGCGGATTCTCCAGCAAAAAGGATCTGGCCCGGCACGAGGCCAAGCACAACCCCGGCGTCATCTGCGAATGGGGAGGTTGCGAACGCATCTTCAGCAGAGTTGACAACATGGTACGGCAATGAATGACACACACACACACTTCCCGCCCACGGCTGCTAACCAAGCTACAGAGGGACCACGTCAAGCGGATACATCTCAAGGGCTCGCGGCCGGCGCCCGCCAAGCGCACGACGACGGCGTGAAAGGCAGACGCGGACGGACAAGAGCAATTGCAATGATTCAGGCACGCCGTCGGCTAAAGGCGGGCAGAGAGAAAGATGACGATCGTCGTGCCTCACGACTGTAACGATTATTTCCGAGGCTCTTCTCCTCAGGGATGAGGAGGGCGGCAGAAAGCCAGGAGCGCCTCGCCGGCACGCGCAGCAGCATGGCTGCATGAGGCGCGGCGACTCGCGTGGCCGCATACGGCAACATGCAAAGGGAGTTTGGTGAAGGCGTTTGGGTCCGGGCACCCGGGCTGGGCAGCAGCATTTCGGCATTGGCGTCTTCGGGCTGCCCCAGGCAGCAATGCATCTGGATCGGGGGAAAAGGCCGCGACGTCGAGTCGTGCGGCATGGGATGATGATAGTCTAGAGGCTAGCAGCCGTAGTGGGTCAGACGGCCACTGCTGCGCATTGAAAAGAATTCATCAGAGGGACACACATCGGATAGAAAGCAATGCTACGAATCAACGTCGAGCAAACGGGCAGGCCACGGGCCTCCGCATTGTGCCTCGCCTCGCTACCATTGCACCGGCGAAAGGCAGTTGGAACTTGGACAGCAGCAGTCGACCTTTTCGCTGTGACCTGTTGCTTGATCGGCGGCTGCGAGCTCGTGCAAAGCACGCAGTGCGATTGGTGAAACGGAAGGGCTGGAACGCGGCTAGTGGGAGGCCTGAAGGGGGGGGGAGGGGGAGTTAGGGCTGCTGCTGTCCAAAACCCCAGAATGGCGAGGGAGCCTCGGTGTGTCGGCCGCCGGATAAACCGCCGTTCCGTTGCCGTGGCTGCTTGGACCTGGAAGCTCCCCTTTAGCTTCCCCCGACCGACCACCCCTCGTCCATAGACACTGCCCTCGCCCAAACCGGTTTCATCTGCCAACCATCGACCCCATCGACTCCAGCCCACAATAAAGCCGCGCTACGGCTACAGGTCCAGACGTCGGCATCCCGATCCGGCAAGCTTGGCCACTGACGCGTCTCCCGCCCGCCCGCAAGAGTGGATATCGCTCGCTCGCGTGCTGCCCAGGATAGCTACCGGTCTGCGAGAAACGGCCGCGACACGCGCGCAACCTTCCCATAACTCTTAGCAATCAATCCTTCTTTGTTCCCGCCCCCCACTCTCACCATTTTTTTTTTTTTTTTTTCCTTCCTCTCTTTTTCCAAACACAAACTTGCTCTCTTCTGGGCCGCACCCGATCTCGGCCCTGGGCCGACCAACTGCAATCTCCGAGTTTCGTTTCGCAACGGGGACATACACTTGGTCGACCTGCGCCATTGGTCGCCCGCTCTTTTTCTTTTTTAAACCTCTGTGCCTCTCTCTGCCTGCAACTTACTGGCGTGATTCTTACATAGGTGCCCGAGCATTTTAGGTTTAGGGGAGCTGCAGCGCGCCCGCTTGGCCCGACCAGGGATCTCCACCAGCGATGCTCGAGTCTCGGCGAGTCATCCACATCCACTGTCGGTGCGGCTGCGGCCCGTGAAGATGCCCTTACTACCAACGGTCGCGTATCCTGCTCATGGCGCTGCAGCCTCACTTTTCTGCTTGAAAGCCCACCACGGCGTTGCCGATTTTTTCATCATAGGATTCTTGCTCAATGCTGCATCGATGTCATCATCGCCCCCCAGTGTTGGCCTGATCGCCATCGTCAGCCATCTCAGGGGAGCAACATCCCGGGCCTTCCACGCACGCTCTCCACATTCCTGCATCTCCACAGGGTCCAGACGCGCTCTCAGAAATGCGCGGTGCCCAACGTCGCCACAACCTTAAAGTGCCCTCACCAAACGGCAGGCTGCCCACCGTCGTTTTACCACCAGTGGCTGTGCGCCTCGTACACTTCTGCTAGCCTCGCTGCTAGTGCTTCACAATGCTCAGGGTCCAGACTAGCCACACCGTCGAAGGATCTCTTCTCTCACACTCCAAGTGCGCCTTGCGGGCGTGCGTCATGCGGTCAAAAGATGAGCTGTTAAGATGAACCGCCAAACCCCTTGCAGGAGGCGCGCTTTGTTCCGAGAGTGGCTCCCTTGGATCTGACGAGCGAAGCCTGTATGTAGATCCAGCTCAATGCCGCACACGCCGCTCGGCACTTGTTGCCCCAGATGGGCTCCATTGTTTCGGTAGGGACGATTCGAGAACAATCGTCGTCGCCTCCTTTCCTCCGGCCTTTGACTTCGGGTTCACCAACCAGATTTGTGTTAAGTGCGCGCGAGCAAGCTGCGAGGCCCAAAACACTACATCTTTCATGCATCATTGGGCATCTCGGGCGAATCTTGACCGGTCCGGGCGGGACGTCATGGTCAAGAACAGCAGTGAACGACGCAGCTCTTCAACATTCCGGCGTCGGCGGACGCTCTTTTTCCAGAAATGCCTAGGTTGAGTCTAACGGGGCCGACGGCAGGTGGAGCAGGCGGCAGGCCGAACGAGACGGAGAGGACGATGATAGAGCGACGGAAAGGATCCGGCAGGCGCCAGCATCTAGATGGAGCCTCTTCATCAGTGGTGGCGTCGCGGCACAACAGTTAGGATCGGACCAGCTCCTTTTCCGCGGCGGCCTCGATCTACGATCCGCACCGTCGATAGCTCATGGGACGGTTCGACGACTGATGAATATTAAGGTTCACGATCTCAAGCGCCTCCCGCGAGAGTAATGGCGTTTAATCCGGGGTAAAGTGGGGGGCACTGGGTTGGGAGAAGGCCTGGACGAGGGACAAATTTCATGTTGCGGTGCGCAGTTCGTCGGAAAAGACGGATTTCTCGAGGCATCGTTCAAAGCCGTGGAATTTTGGCGGAGCGGGCGAAGCGAGCGACGGAAAAGATCGGCTAAGGGACAAGCGAGCGGGTCACGTGCCCGCCCGAGCCTCCGGCGCTTCGTACTCGTAGTGGCCAGGCCACCGAGTGAGCAGCATCCGAGCGAGCGGGATGTCGCGAGCCGAACGGACGCCAAAAGTGAGGCATCGAGTGATGAAGATGTTCGATTAAGGTAGAGATCTGCCTCGGGCAAATCTCGCGGTAAATAATGGAGCCACCTCTCCACAAGGCGTCGTCACCTCCAACCTCCAACCTCCGACACACGAGACTCCCGTTTGGATCGGTCGCTGCCAGGCTTGGGTGACGCCCGCGCTGAAACGTGCTCATGGCGGAGAGGCCTCCGCGCTGACTGCCCTTCCCGTCGTCATCGCCGATACATCAGTGCTTGTCTTGCGCGTCGGAAGCTGCATCGATGCTGCGACTGGGACTCTGCTGCTAATGTAAACCCGGCGTCATGCACGGCTAAGAATAGGACATCTCCTGGAATTCTCCTGTCCACGCTTCGGTAACCCGCTTCTTCTTCCAGCATGTATTGTATGCACGCCGACAGTTTGTTTACATGGGCGCTCGGATGCAAGTGACTAAACATAGATCAGTTTGACGGGAACTTGGGAACGCTCTGGGGTCGCAGGTCAGGACTGCTGTGCGAACAAGCTGTCGGCGCCCTGGCACCACCCTGGGAATCGTCACCCTCATCTGTCCCGGCCCGGTCGATCGGGCCCAATGCGAAGCGCGGCCTAAGGCGGGCAGCAGCACCTAAACGGCATTCGCGTTGCCGCAAGAAGCTTTGGGAAAGGCCTAAAAAATGATCGTGGGCAGATAGGCTAGTCCGACTAACCCTTTTGCGCAGCGGGGCCGCTTCCGCCCCCAACGGATGTGCAGCGGATAAGAATCCGTCTATAAGGTATCTCCGCTTCTTCTCCGCTTCTTTTCCGCCGGCCGGCTGCACTCTTTGGGTTTGGCGCCCGGGATATCGACTCCAAGCAGTGCGGGGTGCTGCGGATATCCTGTCTACCCCGCCTTTTAGGTCCCGCATCCTCCGAGTTCCACCGCTTGCTATGATCTCCCGCGTCTATATATGACTGACTCGACCCTGTGACGTTGAGAGTTGTATCGATCAATTTTTTCTCCGGTTGTTCGCTTTGATTTCAACATGTTGTCTGCTCTTCCAGCTCAGCCTCCCCATATCCCTGCCCATGATCATTCCGCGCCCATAGTAGCGCCAATCAGTGCGACAATTCCAGAACCTTGTATGTCGGAGCCACGGACGGTAGATGAGTTGATGCGAAGCCGGGCGTCTACGGATCCAGACCTTCCTTTAGTAGCCTACCCTTCGACAGGAATCCAATATGTTGACTACACGGCACGCCAATTGGACACGTTCGCATATAGGGCTGCAGAAAAGTATGCGACTTTGATACCTTCGAGGACGAGCTCTTCACAGAAACCCACCGTGGTCGCGCTGGTGGGGCGGTCGAATCTTGACTACCTGATTACTCTGCTGGCGCTCAGCAAGCTGGGGCACACGGTCATGTTCCTATCTACCCGCAACTCGAAAGAAGCACAAATATCGCTTCTCGAAAAGACTGCATGTCATCACATGGTTGTTGATTCAGCTTTCGCCGGAGTCGCGGGAGCGCTACAGGAAGATAAACCCGATCTGCACGTCCTCCCGATCACCACGCGAGAGTCGTATGAGTACCCACTTGGGGAGCCCATTGACACCCGGATGAACCCAACTTTCGACCCAGAACAGGAAGCGAAGAATGTGTGCTGGATCATCCATTCCAGCGGATCCACCGGTTTGCCGAAGCCGATCTTCCTTACCCAGAAGGCGGTGTTGAAGAACTACTCGACAAACATGAACATGCGCGGCTTCATCACTCTTCCGCTCTTCCACGCACATGGCATCAGCTCCCTTTTCCGGACCGTCTACTGCAAGAAGCAGATACATCTATACAACGCAGAGCTACCTTTGACAAAGCAGTACCTCACCGAAATTATTCGCACACATGATTTTAAGATCTTCTATGGTGTCCCTTATGCCCTTAGTCTGCTAGCAGAGTCGGCCGAGGGTATTGAGCTACTTTCCCGTTTCAAGATCGTCATGTTTGGCGGTTCTTCATGTCCCGATTCCCTGGGCCACAAGCTCGTAGCGCACGGCGTCAACCTCGTGAGCCATTATGGGTCCACAGAAACTGGGCAGCTGATGTAAGCTCTAGGACTCACAGCGCGGACCGTAATGCTGACAGTACTAGGACATCTTTCCGACCCCAAGGGGATAAAGGGTGGGACTATCTTCGGCCGACCGCAGCAGTCACGCCATTTTTAAGGTTCGAGGACCAGGGTTCTGGCCTCTACGAATGCGTCTGTTTGGAAGGATGGCCCTCGAAAGTCATGACGAACCGTGAAGATGGTGCTTATGCCACCAAGGATTGTTTCACGAAACATCCCACCCTGCCCAATGCCTGGAAGTACTATTGCCGTCTAGATGACACGATCACTCTCAACAATGGCGAGAAGGCGAATCCGCTCCAATTGGAAGGTGCCGCAAAGGAAAGCCCGCTTGTGGCGGATGCCGTCATGTTTGGAGCTGGAAGGACAAGGTGTGGTCTTGCTGTCGTCTTGTCCGCGGAAGCGGCGGGCATGTCGGAGAACATGATCGTTGATGCTGTCTTGAAGACCGTGGAACCTGCGCACACGGCTCTTCCGGCACATGCTAAGATTGACAGGGATATGATGCTGCTGCTTCCACCAGAAACGCAATACCGGATCACAGACAAGGGCACCGTAATTCGACAGGCATTTTACAAGCAATTCGAACAAGAGATCGACGCAATGTATGAGGAAAAGACCGCTGGAACGCTTGTTTTGTCCGAGCCGGATCTTAGGGACTTCGTTATGAGAGAGGTTGCTGAGGTCATGGAGAAGGATCATTCAAGTCTTACAGACGATCAAGACTTTTTCAGTCTAGGCATGGATTCCCTACAGACGAGTAGGCTTCGCACCACTTTCCTAAAACAGCTAGACCTCGGAGGCCAGCAGCTTGGACTCAACTGCGTCTTCGACTACCCAAGCGTCTCCGCGCTGGCTCATCACTTGCACTCGCTACGGAACGGCGCAGATGTCGCCTCGGTCTCCAAGGAGGAGGAGATGCAAGCCCTAATCGAACAATACTCTACCTTCCGCGACCACGTCCCACAGCCCCGCGCCGTGGAAGGCGACTACGTCCTCGTCACCGGCGCCACCGGCTCCCTCGGCGCACACATCGTAGCGCAACTCGCGGCCCTCCCATCCGTCCACAAAGTCTACTGCCTCGTGCGCGCCACCTCGCCCTCGCACGCGCTCGCCCGCGTCATCAAGTCCCTGCAAGCCCGCCGCCTGCACCCCCTCCCCCCAGCCGCGGAAGCGAAGCTCGTCGCCCTACCCGCGGACCTCTCGCGCCAAGACCTTGGCCTCAGCCCTGATGTGCTTGATGCGCTGAAGACGGAGCTCTCGGCCGTGATCCACGCGGCCTGGTCCGTCAACTTCAACCTCGCGCTGCGAAGTTTCGAGAAGGACTGTATCGCGGGGGTGACGCACCTGCTCAACCTCTGCCTCGCGACGCGCAGCCAGACGCCCGCGTCCTTCAACTTCTGCTCCTCGGTCAGCAGCGTCGTGAATACGCCTGCTGCCGCTACTGACGCTGACGCTGACGCTGACGCTGACGCTTCCTCCCTCCTCCGCGTCCCCATCCCGGAATCCCTCCCCCCCACCCTCTCCTCCGCCCAAAACATGGGCTACGCGCAGTCCAAACTCGTAGCAGAGCACCTGGTCGCGCGGGCGGGGTCGCAGCACCCGACGCTGCGCGCGCGCGTTCTACGCATCGGCCAGGTCATCGGCGACACGAAGCACGGGGTGTGGAGCGCGGCGGAGGCGGTGCCGCTGATGCTGCGGGCGGCAGTGACGATAGGGGTGTTGCCGACGTTGGAGGAGCGGGTGCGGTGGCTGCCCGTCGACGTCGTAGCTGGGAGCTGCGTCGAGATAGGTGGTATTGGGGCCGGTGTCGCGGCCAACGAATCCGCCGCCCCCAGCAGCAGCAGCAGTGCCTCTGCCGTTTCTTCTTCCAGTGGCGCTCCTACCACTGCCGACGCCAACGCCGCCCCGCCCAGCGGCACGTACAACATCACGAACCCGCGCACCGTACACTGGACGCAGGACGTGCTGCCGCTGCTGCGCGGCGCGGGCCTGGCCTTCGAAGCCGTGGGCACGGCGGACTGGCTGGAGACGCTGCGCCAGGGGCCGCAGGACCCGGTGGCGAATCCGCCGGTCAAGCTGCTGGAGTTCTGGGAGAGGAAGTACGGCGATGGGCAGCGGAGGGAGTTGGTGTATCGCACAGAGAGGGCGGAGAAGTGGGCAAGAGGGGTTAGGGACGCGGGAGTACTGGATGCGGTGCTCGTAAGGAGGGTGCTGGCGGCTTGGAGGGGGGCGTGGGGACTGGGTGAGGGGAAGTAGGTGTGTGCGTTGGGGGTGGGCTGGGTTGTTTGTTTGTGGGCACTGGTGGTGTCACCTGGAAAACAGGTACGCTCAGAGGCATGCGCCAGCTTTAGCAACGAGAAAACCGAACGCGCTTTGCCCAGCCACCTTCAACGAGGTTGCCGTCGCCGGGCATGTTTGTTGTTTGGGCAGGCTCCTTCCCCATCCGCAGGAGGAATCAGGGAGCGAGCCACTTTCTTCTTTTGGAAGCCTCGTCCCTGCCTACCTTACCTACCTACATACCCGTCGCCGGCTTGACGCGCCTGTCGCTTCGTCTCCCAGCCTTGTCTCGACGCCTGTCTATCCCCCAGCTCACCGCCATCGTCGAGAACCAGCATTCTTGTCGCAAGCACTACGCCAGAGCTCTCTGCTTCAGTGGTTTTCACGACGATACAAGGGATCACGGTCGCCAGTTTCCGACCTAGCCACGAAGGTCAACTCAGTCCGTCACCGTCGGCGCAGGGGAGCGAAGAAGAAGAACGGCTTCGCCAACGCCTTCGCAGAGGGTGGGAGATGCATCAGAGTCTCAAACCTTCAATGGGAGGCTAACGAGGCTGACTTGGAGGCATTCTTCACCTCATTCAAAGCGTAAGTCTGTGTTTCAAATATCCACTGGGATCACCATCTGTCGACAGTAGCTGATCCGTTTCCAACAAGAATGTTCTTGTCGCCCGGTCGCCGGCCGGAAGACCGCGTGGATTTGCATTTGCTTCTCTCCCTACGCCCGCTGAAGCCTCTGCCGTTATCAACGCATTATCCAACACTGAATTGGAGGGGAAGAAGGTGAAGCTATCTCTGGCTAGGGAGAACGACAAGAACGCCGCCGCTGCCGCCGTCCATGCGGGCACGGGTGCGGGTCTGAGTGAGAGCGTTGGCGGTATTGGCGATGAAGACGGCAAGGTGAAGGTGGAGGTTAAGACGGAGGAGGAGTAGGCGAGCGTGATGGTACACTGTTCTTGCCGAAGATGGAAAACGAACATTGACTGCATCGAGCAAGTGTTTCTAGCTTCACTGCAGTACAATTGTGGCTTGTCTTTGAGAGGACTTTAAAACACAAATTTAGTAGCTCAGTTATTCTATCCGGGAATACTCAGTTGATCTCGCACAGGTCTGGAATCGTGTCTCCCCGCTGCCACCGCGTCCAACGCTATCCTGCACTTTACACAGCTTATTAACGACCAGGGGACGGAGAGTACTTAAAAACAGTGTAAGCAGCAATAAAGAATCACATCTTGCTTCTGCAGCCGGCACTCCCACAATGGATACCGCATGCAAGTCCAAACCACTTTACACTGGCGCGGTAATTACGAAGAACATATACTCTTACGATACAATATAGGTATCTCAGATACTCAACGCAACGCAGAGTAAAGACCATGTCATTATGTCATTTGGAACAGTAATAACGCACTTCAGCGCCAGATGATAGTGGCGTGCGCTATCAGTATTGTGTGATACAGGATGACGCTGGTACTTATCAATGACGGTGTGTGATGAGGCGTTGTGCTGTTTGGGGCGCGAGAGTTGTTAGAGAGTGAATGAGTGAAATGGAATGCGAGGGTGAAGGATATGGTCAAGGTCTCTAGGACCGAGGCTGTACAGGTGACGCCTCGATTCTGGATGGTGGGTTTCTGAAGATGATGGCTGTGTGGTTTGGTCGGGGGGTTGTGTGGGGGTTTTGCGTGGGTTTTGTGTTGAAGGGTTGTTGTTGTTGTGGTGGTGGTGGTGGGCTATGGAGGGGTGCGGGTTTTGGGGCCGGCCCCTGGGTAGGGGATGGGTGGGGGACTCTTGCGCTTGATGCTTAAGAATGGGGTAGGTGGTGCTGGGTGCTTCTTATTTGCGTTGGCTTTGGCTTTGTCTGTATGCTTTATGTATTCGTTGTGCGTGTTGGCGTTTGGTTGATTGATTGATTGACTGACAGCTACAACAGCCACAGCTCTCTTTGACAGCGGTATAAAGGTAGCGATGGAGGAGACGCTGCACGATGCCTCCCTAAACCCGTTCCATGCACCAACTTACCAAGTCCTTTGCTTCCCTTATCTTCCAAGCTTCTATGCCTCGGCACGCATGTACACCACCAAATCAATTAAACATTACCAGGCTCTGTCCAGCCCAGCTCGAAATGCACCAACCTCACCAACCCAAACCCCCCAATCTCCCCCTCATACCATCCCACAAACCGCGCCCCGCACCCCAAGCTCCAACATAAACCTAAGCCTCCTCCACGCGCTCCCGCTCCCTGATCCCAAACATCGTCATAGCGATACCGCGTAAGCTCCTGCGCACGATCCACATGACGCCGAAGAAGACGACGAAGATGATGAGCAGGATGAGGAAGATTGCTGTGTTGCGCTGCATTTTGGACGTGTGCTGTGGTGGTGTTGTGGTGGGTCTTGTTGGTTATTGGTTATGGGGTGGGTTTTGTTGTTTGTTTTGTGGATGTTTTGTGGATGGTTTTGAGCTTGTGGTGGGTTTGTGGGTGAGGTCGCGGTGCTAGTGGTACTGGGGTTGTTAGTTGGTTGGTTATTAGGGAGCAGGGAAGGGGTTGGGCGCACACTTTGCGGCGAAGTGAGTGTGAAAAAAAGATGGCGCGCGGTGGTACGGCTGGTGCTGTGCAGACGGGCGCTTGAGGGCTGAGGTATGCTTGAGGCTGCGTGGTGCGGCGATTGCGTGGGCGGGCGGAGAGTAAGAGGCCTTTGCTGGAGATTGTCGTTGTCGGTTCGCGGTTTAGATGTCTGGAGGGAGGACCGGTGAGGGTTTCAACGTAGTTTGTTTTCCGGCGGCGGTGCGGGTTTGTTTTGAACAAGCGATGTTTTTGTGTGAAAGAAGCGTTTGGAGTGAGGGTGTGTTAGTGGCATTCGGAATGAAAGTGAAGGGAGGCGATGGGTGTGTCAGTGACAGGCTTTTGGAGAGGACCGATTTCCTGCCGTCACTTTCCCATATACATGAACGTAGAAAACCGAATCACCAAACCGATTGAATGACGACATCCAGTCGCCTGGGTCTTGCAAAAAAGTAACAAAAAATGAGTTGAGCAAACCCGGAATCGAACTTGCGCACCAATTTCCAAAAAGAGAAGGCAGGCGGTTTAGGTGTAACACGCTCAAGGGTGCGTCACCCTATCGGCTCAAACCAACAAACCAGTAAACCAGTAAGCCAGTAAGAACGGGAGGATATACTCTGAACGGCTGCTCTCTATGTTGCAGAATGAACCGCAACCCGGCCTTATATACTAATGTTTTTGCTATCACTTCTGGGTGGATATCAGACTGTCACCAGTTCTACCTACAATGTCGCTACGGGAATAACGCCGATTTGTAGGCCCGTGCTATGCACACGACCACTTGTCTGCTTCTTTGGCCTTTGTATGCAGCTTGTCTTCTCAACTCAATCCACTTCACGTCTACCTATCCGTTACCACCTAGCGACCCCGGCACTGACTTATACGTCACGACACACGAGAAGGCTCGCCAAACCACCATCTTTCCCCTCCCTCCATTGTCACCTTTTCAACCTCCCCCTACAACCAATGTAACAACAAGTTCACAACATAACGACGAGCAACACACCCACAAACCCAACCAAAACAAAACCTCTATCGCCAGACCCAAGCCCATCACGATGCGCAGTCTCTTTGGCTGCCGCTGAACCCGGCCCATGCTCTCCAAACGAACGCAGGCATAGCCGCTGCCAGTGAGCATTGCCCTACCTCAAGCCTCATAGCAACAAGCGCGAACGCCATCCCATGCGGCCTACTACCCACCACGCTACCACACCACACCTCACGCCCTAAACAAAACAACGAAACGGAACGAAACAAACCAACCCAACCAATCTCTCTAACTCCCAAGACTTCACATATGTAGCTACAAAACCGCCAGAACCTGAACATGGGTGCCACTGCCACACCTATTCAAATTCAGGATCGAGGGCGATGATTCTGCAGAACAGCAAGTCAGAATGAATGCGCCGATTCCACGCCAGCTTACCCGATCTCGTTAATGGCTCATGTGCGTGTTGATGCTGCAGAGGCTCATAGGCGCCGACGAGGCGCAGGTGCGCGTTGTCGACCACCATCACTGCACGGAAGCGCCATAGTTTATCACCTCCACTCGCTCGCGCCTGGCGTCATTGCCTAGTCTCACATACAACCGGTGCTTGAAAAGGGAGATGCATGAGCGGTATGCCGCGCTCGTGCAATGCGGAAGTTCTTCAAGTCCTGGCCGCATATGTCTTGTGCTCTTTGTTGAGCAGGCCGAGTTGGTTAGTTTGGTTTGGTTTGGTTTGGCTTGATGCTTGCGTGACAGAAGAAGTAAGTAAAGGCGGGAAGTGGGCATGCGTATGTATGTATGCATTGCCTCTTGGCACAGAAACAGAAGGTAGATCTAACGCACGCACCCACTCCCTTCATCCCCCCACCCCCACCGCTACCACAACACACACACACACTACCGCCTCCGTCCCGCCCCCCCAGCCCCAGACCCGGCACCACCGCCCCCCTCCCTATCCGCCAAACTGACCACATCGCCAATACCAGCCTGTTCCTGCTCATCTTCCAACGCACGGATCTCCTCGCGGCAATCCCACCACTTCTCCTCGGCGCGCTCAAACGCCATCGTCTTGATCTCCTTGACGCTGCGGGCGGCACCGCCGTACGTGCGCGCGAGAATGTCCATCACGACTTCCTGCCAGGGGTGCGAGGTGCGGGCGTAGAAATCGCGGAGGGTTTCGAAGGGCCGGGGATGCGGGAGCCCGTCGTCGGTGAGTGCCGAGGCGGACTTTTCTGTCGCGGAGGTTGTTTCTTCGGCGGGTGTGCTGGGCGTGGTGACGGAGGTTGCAGCGGTGCTGGCGGCGGTACTGGCAGCGGTGCTTGCGGCTTCGTCGTCGCTGAGGCCTTCGTCGTCGTTCTCGTCGTCGTAGTCGTCTTCCTCGTCCTCCTCGTCGTCTTCTTCGTCCTCGCTTTCCTCGCCCTGCCAGTCCTCGAGCTCGCGGCGGAAGATTTCCTTCACGCCTTCGAGCTTGCCCAGGTCGATTGCCCACATCTCGTCGAACGTGTACTCGCGGTCGCCCTTCTCGAACGTGCCGCCGAAGATGTACAGCACGTCGTCCTGCACCGCGAGCTGCGCGTTGAAGCGCGGGTGCGGCATCTCGAAGAGGACCTGCTTCTCGGGCTTGTCGGGGAGGTCTTCTTCGTCCGGCGAGCCAGTAGCAGAGAGTTTCGCGCCGGCATTGGCGGCGCCGTCGTCGTCGCCATCGCCGCTCGAAAGCGTGCCCTTCATCTCCAGCGCGGCGAGGTTGCGCAGCAGCTCCTCCTCGTCGGCCTTGCCTCGGCCTCTGCGCCCGCCTGCCCGCCCTTCCTGCGCGGTCTTCTTCCCCTGGGCGCGGGGCTTGCGCAGCGCGAGCGGGAAATAGCGGTTGCGGTCGACGTTCCACGCGAACAGGGAGTTGAAGAACTCGGACTCAATGCCCTCCTCGCTCTCCTCGACGTCGTGGACGCCGCCGAATTGGATCCCGCGGCCCTTGTGGAATGCCATGGTTGCGCCGGCGCGCGCGGGCGTCGGCGGGTTCGCTGGCCGCTTCCGCCGCTCCCAGTGGACTTTGGGCAGGCTGTTGGCGGGCGCGTCGGCCGCTGGTGGCGCGATCCGCAGGAACCACGTGTCTTGGTGCACCATGGGCTTGAGGACGGTGCGCGATGCGGGGCCACCGCCGCCTTTGCCTTGCTGCTTCCCGCCGGCGGTCAGCTTCACGCGTGAGTACCCGCCGTAGAGGACGGCGCCGGACTCGTGCGGGAGGAAGGAGAAGCTGCTGCGGGCGTCGGGCTTCTGTCCGACGGGGGGCAGCTTCGGCTCGTGCCACTGGAAGGTGGCCGTGTCGTAGATCCAGACGTCCTGCAGGTATTTGGTCGTCTGGCTGGTGTCCTGGAAGCCGCCGAACAGGATGATGTAGTTCTTATAGTAGGTCATGCGGTGGCCGCTGCGGGCGGGGGGGCCCTTGCCCTTGAACTCTAGGCGCGTCCATTCGCGCGAGCCGGGCTCGAGGCGCCAGAAGTCGTTGTAGTGGTAGAAGGTGCCTTGTTTGGGGGACGAGAACTCGCCGCCGAAGAGGTAGACGGCACGGTCGTTGCCGCCGCGGGTCCAGGCGTGGCCGCTGCGGGGCAGGGGCGTGTTGGGCGAGGTGACGTTGCGCCACTCGTCGCGGTTGACGTTGTAGACGAACAGGTCGTTGTAAAAGTGCGCGACGGCGCCGTTGAAGTACTCGCCGCCGAAGAGGAAGAGCTCGTTGTCGTTGGCGGGCGAGGCGAGCAGCGTGGCCGAGCTGCGGGCAGAGGGCGGCGCCTCGGCCACGGCTTCCGTCACCTTGGTGAACTCTTCCTGCTGCCGTGCATACTCGGCCAGTACAGCGTCCAGGTCGACATCGTCGGCATCGCTGTCGTCGGCGTCTTTGCCGCGCTTTTGGGTTTTCTTTTCTTTCTGCGTGGCTTTTTTCTCCTGCTTCTGGGCGGTGCGGGCCTTTTTCTCGGCCTTTTTGGCCTTGTCGTTTTTCTTAGCCATGATGGAAATGTAGTATGTAGTTCTAGATCAGATGATGGATTGTAGGTAGTTTTGCATACGTCAATTTTCTTTGGGCCCCGCCGCTGATCGATCGCTTGGCGCGGGCGCAGGGCTGAAGAGGCGGGAAACGGGCCGGCGGCGTCAGGGCGTCGGGCACCCACTGCGCTTCCTCCGCCTCAACACGTCGCCTTGCCTTGCCTTGCTTTGCACCTCCATCCCAACCCATTCATTCATCTCTCCAAACAAACAAAGAGAGGGAGCAAAGAGCTAGGATCCCAATTCGGTGAAACATGGCTGCCAAGATCGCCCCCGCCAAAATCATCGAGCAGCGCTCTCACGTCGTCCCGGGTACCCCCCCTGCCCCCCGAAACCGCTCCCCCTCCCCCTCACCTCACCCCGCGCAAGCGCAGCCCACGCTCACGAGCCATGCACACCCCTCGAGCAGCCTACTGACATGCGCGCGCAGGACGATTGAAAATCACCGAGCACGTGTTCGAGGTGCCGACGGACTGGTCGTCACCCGAGACGTCGCGGCCGCTGCGCCTGTTCGCGCGCAGTGCGCGCAAGGCCGAGAAGCCCGCAGTGCCGAGCTCGGCTGAAGATGAGCGCAAGGCGGCGCAGCTGCCCTTCATGCTGTTTCTGCAGGGCGGGCCCGGGTTCGGGTGCCGCTCGCCGCACGAGATGGGCTGGACGCACCAGGTGCTCGAGCGCGGCTACCAGGTGCTGTGTCTGGACCAGCGGGGGACGGGGCTGTCGAGTCCGCTGACAGCCAGCACGCTGGGCCTGCGCGGCGACGACGACGTCCAGGCGGCGTATTTGCGCAAGTTCCGCGCCGATAGCATCGTTAAGGATTGTGAGGCTGTGCGTCTGGCTCTGACGGCTGATTACCCCGACGAGAAGAAGACGTGGAGTGTCGCTGGCCAGAGCTTTGGCGGTTTCTGCATCACGACGTATCTCTCGTTTTTCCCCGAGGGCTTGCGCGAGGCGTTTTTCTTCGGCGGGTTGCCGCCGCTAGTGGAGAACCCTGATGAGGTTTATCCTCGCACTTTCAAGAAGGTCATTGAGCGCAACAAGGCCTACTACGAAAAGTATCCCGAGGATGTGGCCCGAGTTAAGCAGATCGTGAGTTTGTTGCGCAAGTTTGGCGATAGCACCGTGAGGCTGCCTTCGGAGGGCAGCTTGAGCGCGAGGCGCTTCTTGCAGCTGGGCATTAATATGGGCTTCCATGGTGGAATTGACAGCACACACGGTATGGCATGCTATTACTTCAGCTGCTCCTGACGACTGACATGCTCGCTTGCAGAAATCGTCCTCCGCGCATCCAACGACCTCGCCATCTTCGGCCACTTGACGCGTCCGACGTGCTCGCTTATCGAGCAGACCCTGCCTTTTGACGACCACATCGTCTACGCCATCCTGCACGAGCCGATCTACTGCCAGGGGTACGTGTAGCCGCGCACACGTTTTTTTCTCTTATTTCCCTGCTCTTCTTGATGGCAGGCACCGATCGATCGCTGAGCTTGGCGTGACTGACAACTGCCCAGCAACAACGCCGCCAACTGGTCCGCCCACCGCATCCAGCAGCAATTCCCCGAATTCGACCTCGACACGGACGGCCCGCTCCACTTCACCGGCGAAATGGTACCTTCCCCATCAGCAGTGCTCCCTTCCCTGTCATCCTCCCCGAGACACCCGCGCTAACACCCCACTCACGCACAGGTCTTCCCCTGGATGCTGCACGACTACGCCGAGCTGCGCGGGGTCGCAGGGCCCGCCGAAAAGCTCGCCGCGCACGCTGACTGGCCCGCCCTCTACGACGCGGAGCAGCTCGCGCGCAACGAGGTCCCGACGTACGCGGCCGTGTACATGGAGGACATGTACGTCGACTTTGAGCACTCGATGAACACGGCCAGGGCCATCAAGGGCTGCAGGACTTTCGTTACTAATGTTATGTATCATGATGCTGTCAGGAGTCGCATGGATGATGTCTGGCGGAATGTGTGGGCGTTGAGGGATGAGGGGGGTGTGGATTAGTGCGTTGGCGTGGGTGTGGATGGGGGTTGGGGGGTTGGGGTGAGGTGGTGGAAGGGAAGAGGGACGAGGAGAAGGAGGAGGGTATACATAACGAGCACGGAATGATGGAAGAAGGGTTTGGTATAAAAGAGAGGGCAGGGTACAGTACAGAACAACCACGCACACATACGCACACATATGCACACGCGAACACACGCACGCACTAACACACACATGTGCGCGCAAACTTACACCCTTAACGGTTCATGTTCGCGCATACCCACGCCATTCTCAAACCCAACCCGCCGCACCGTTACATCGAAAAGACAGTGGCTGCATCGTGCACGCGCTCGTCGTCGCTACAGCGTAATAACACCCCTCACCACCACCATTATATCATACACACCATCTTCATCACCACCTCCCATTCTCAATAAATTCACCCAAACAACCAACAAACCAACCAAATAACAAAAACAAAAGACCATCAGCGCCGGCGTGTCGGCGGAGCATGTGAACCTCCGCAATGTTGTCTTGTCGTTCTTGGAGGTTGTTCGGAGAGTTCTTTACGGATTGGCGTGGTGCTGATGGTGCTGGGTGTGTAGGAGGTTGTGTGGGGCGGGACGGGGACGGAGAGGATGAGGGGGGGGGGGAGATGTACTTGTTTGTGTAGGTAGGTAGGTAGGTAGGGGCAAGGCACAAAGCAGCATCGCCACCGCCGCTGCCGACGACGACGACACCCACAACAACAACACCGACGCGACAACCTCACACTCACTCTTACAGCGTAGCACATGAAGTCATAAACAGGCAGCACAAGCCAGCAGCGAAAGGCAGAATTCAGTTTAGTGAAGTTGGTAAATATGCAAACGTATGCAGGTTTTGACACGCGCTGTTACGTACAGTGTTAAGCTGTTCTGGACTAGTAGTTAGTGCTAGAATGCGGTACTCTTCTGGGGGGTTGGTGATGGTGGTTGGTGGATTACTGAGATAGCTGGGGCGGGGGCGGGGGTGTGCTATGTGCGGCTGTCAGCGGTTTTTGGGATTGACAACTTACCTGGGTATGGTCTTTGCAAGAGGTGCCCGATGGAAGTGGTATGGCTTGGTTTGGGTTTGTTTGCGGTGGGGAGTGTCGAGGTTTGCATGAGAGCCGGGGGCGGTGCGTCCTGGCTGTTATAGATGGAAGGCGGGGGCGCGGATTTAAGTGCTGCGGGTTGTTGCGTGTGCGTGGGTTTTGGATGGGCGCTGGAGGCGGAGTGGTGAGTATGTGTGGGGAAGGTGTGAGGGTGCAGTTCGTGGGGTGGTGTTTTCTTGTTGCTGTTGCTGTCTATGACGTATCGAGCGATTAGAAGCATTGGTTCTGGAGATGATGTTGGGTGGCGACTTTTAGTGATGCTTGTGGGTTTTGTGTGGGATTATAAGGCGAAGAAAAGGGTTGGGTTGTGTAGATTCTGTGACGGGAATTGGGATATATAAACCTTCCATGATGCAGTACCTATAGAACGTCCTAGAAACCGCACTCCACCTCACGCTACTTCGCGACACACCAGGGATAATATCAAAAATTGGGGAGTGGAAGTTCCTGTAGCCAGTTCATAGCAGTAACGAAGAAGGTTCTACCGCGCCGTCCTTTTGTTAAACGCATATGCACAGCAGCGCTACTGCATGATGCTGAACGACTGCATCAGTAGAGCGTGCTGCTGTGTAGTACCCCAAAAGTACCTATGCTACCTACACTCAAAACTAAAAGACGTTTCTATTTGTCGAGCGCTGGCTGCTTAGTTAGTTGACAAGCCGCTTCCCTGGTCTGTAGTCTGCCTCTATTGGGTTCGGTAGGTGGAAACGGTATGCACCGAACGGCTTATCGATCGATTCGCTGCCGATCCAGTTAGGGCCCGTTGTTCTGCTTTACTTTCGGCCAGACAGTCATCCTCTGTATCAGAAGTTGAGGGCTTGCGGAGGGGATGATACGTGAGGAAGTTGTTGGCGCGGTATGTGTGTTGTTTCTCTGCCTTTCTGACTCTACCTTTGGAACCTATTAGCCGGGTAACACTTCTTTTTCCAGCCCTATTTAACTCCGTTGCGGATTACACGGCACGAGGATCATGAACTGATTGTCTTTCTGTCATCGTGTGATATGCTATATAGTTAGCTGCTTCTGGATTGTATGTTATGGAAGAGAAAAGAGAGAAGAGCGGTTTTACGGGGGTGAATGGTTAGTTACAACCAAAAAAGTAAAGAAGAAACTGGAGTTCATAGATATATAACACAGCTACCCCCTAGACCTTCCACTCCTCAACCAGGACCGTAGCCGGCACCACGATTCGTTAAAGGCGGCCGTCTCAAGACAACAAGTTACAGACCCTAACGCAAGTAGGGGCGTACTCAGATTAAAGAAATTCCCTTACAACAGTCTCAGCATCAACAACAACAACAGCATATCCAAATCTCGATATCTGACACAATGATGCTACTCATCACAACAACTAGCCACCAACCAGCACCATTTGCAAGCGTCCACGCTCACCACCACCTTCTCCTTATCTCACGCGTTTGGGCAGGCGTATCGTCGGATTCGCCTTCTTCGGAAGTCGTAGACACAGATACAGCGTGGTCAGTGAGCATAACCGGGGCCAAGAGGCACCGGTCAGCTGTCATGGTTCATGCTTCTCGTAGCTAACTAAGCTTTGTCGCGCTCAAAGCCCTGTTTGGAAGCAGACCATGAGTAGTATTTATAGCAGAATATGGGGTCAGCAGCATCATGCAGCGTCTATTAAAGCCTTCAGTTTCCAATTATACGAAGCAAAGCTTCTTGCAACCCGTATTCCAGTACTCCAGATTGTTTTGGAAAGTGTGTGGCGAAAGTATGTTGAAATCCGCGACTCAACGCAGCGGTACGACCCGGCGCGGTTGTGGGGATGATGCGGGATGGTGTTGTGGGGTCTAGCTTCGGAGTTTTAGGATTGAGAAGTATTTAGGATCAGTGACAGGTAAACCAGCGTTGTGCGAAGAATTTGAGGTGGTTGTGTGGTTATGTCTACGATAGTCGGATGAATTTTTATGTCGCATGCGTTAGGAAGCCGCCAGATCCATCTATTGCAATATCAAATCTACACACTCAACGCCACTCTATGGGTATTCCTCCTCCTCCTTTACATCCAATTCTAACCTCTAACTAACCGCCCAGCCCCTGGACGACCCAATCCAGCCGCACAGCACTAACGCCCCTCGCATAACTCTTATTCGTAAACACAAACTCGCTAAACACCAGGGCCTCGACCTTGCGCCCAAACAGCACGCTGGATGGATGGATCGCGACAGTCTGGTTGCCCACCAGCGTGCGGTAGCTGCCGTCGGGCATCAGGCGCGCCGTGTTGGGCGCAAAACCGCGTAGCAGCGCTAGCAGGATGTTGTTGTTGCGGTCTTCGGAGGGACGGGCGGGCTCATCGTTGCTGGTGAAGGGCGTCGAGGAGAGTTTGAGTGTCGTGCAGAGTGCGCGGAGCTGCTTGCGGATGTCCTGGTGGGTGTTAGTAGGTTGGTTTTTCTCTTATGGCTTCGAGAATGTGCGGAAGGAAGGGCTCGGTTGGGATTAGCTTACCATGACGTTCTGCATGGCGCGGTGGCTCACGAATCGCCGCTCGCACCATGCTTTGCGGTCACTGCGCTCGGAGGCGTATGCCTGGATGGTAGCGAGGAGCGTGAGATGGTCGCCCTCGCGGCGGAACAGCTCCCGCCTAGCCGACTCGGCCTCTTCTCTCTTCTCCTCGGTAACGACGTTCACGAAGACGTTTTCGACGCTCAGACCGGCGACGATATCCACAATCTCCTCGAGGCAGTCGCGCTCCTCCGTTGCCGCTTCCACCAAACAACGTCCCAGCGTCGGTGTCAAGGGCAACTTGGCAATTTGCAACCCAATGTCCGAAATCTCGCCATCATCCTTCAGCGCGCCGAGTTGGAACAGCAAAAGAAGCGCCTTCTCGAGCGCCTCGCGTGGCGGAGGGTCCAGGAATGGAAAGTTCAGCACGTCCCGGACGCCGCGTGCCTTCATCGTGAGCAGCGCCGCACTAAGATCGCATCTCAGAATCTCAGGCGTCGTGTCCTTTTGCAACTCTGTGTAGCCCTTTTCTGTGTACAACCGGAAACAGTTTCCGGGTGCCTCACGACCGGCACGACCCTTGCGTTGAATTGCAGCAGACTGCGAGATTGGCTTCACCAAAAGCGAGTCAAGGTTCAGCGCAGGGCGGAACTGCTTGATCTTCGACTTTCCACTGTCGATGACGTGACGAACGCCTGGGACTGTGACGGAGGTTTCGGCGATGTTGGTACTCAGGATGATCTTGCGAGTGCGAGGTGGCGCAGGGAGGAAGACGCGTTGTTGGAGATTTTGCGGGAGCGCTGCGAATAGAGGTAGAGTGAGGATCTAGATGTAGTCAGTCGAACAGTACCATGCCTGTCAGAAGAGTTTAAGCTTGCCTTGGGAACTTCCGATCCCATGCCGGCGGCATATTCGTTTACAAGCTTCTCCAGCGTTTCCACGGTGTCCTGGCCCGTCAAAAACACCAAAACATCTCCCGGAAGTGGCTCCTTGTAATGGACCTGGAAGATGGTCTTGAGCGCTGCCTCCACAAAATCTTGCGTAGGCTCCGGCAGATACGAAGTCTTAACCGGGAACATACGACCTTCGATGTGACAGGTGGATATCGACTCGTGGTGAGCTGGTCCGTCTGACAACTTACCATCCTGCCGCATAGCCTCGGAGGAAGCTTTTGGTGCAATTCCGTCTTGTCCCTTGTTCTTTTTATCTTTTTTCGACTTCTTTACCACCTGCCATTCCTCTTCGGCGCCATCCTTTGCCTCTTTCGACTCCTTCACTTCCTTATTAGAATCAACAGACTTCCCCTCACCCTTCTTGACCTCCGCGTAGCCCTGATCAAAGAATTTCAACAACCTCTCCGTATCTGCCGTTGCACTCATGACCACGACCTTCAACCTGCGCCCGTTTCTGCCCTTTTCCCAATTTCCGCAGACGATTCGCCGCAGGAAACCCAGAACCAGATCCACGTTGACACTCCGTTCGTGCACCTCATCGACCACGACCGCGCCGTAAGCCTTCAGCCACGGATCCCGCAACAGCTCCTGCAGAAGCATACCCTCCGTCAAGAACTTTATCTTCGTGCTCGGACTGATGTTCGTATCGAACCGAACCGCGTAGCCGACTCTGCTCGCCGGGCTGGAATTACCCAGCGGGCTGCCCATTTCGTCCGCGACACGCCTTGCCAGCGAGATAGCAGCCACACGACGGGGCTGCGTAATCGCAATCTGCGTCGACGCGAGCCATGGCTCCGCCAGCAAGAACTGCGGCACTTGTGTCGACTTTCCGGAACCGGTCTCGCCGACGAGAATCAAAACGTCTTTGGAGGCGGCGAGCGACGAGCGGATCTCGTTCTGGTGCGCCCAGATCGGGAGCGACTTGCGCACGGGGAGGAGGGCCTCGCGCTTCTGGGAGAGGGAGGTGGGGCGGCGGTCGGCTTTGTGCGGCGTGCCATTTGGGGTGCCATTGTGCTGTTTCTTGAAGTGCTTGTGCGGCGCGTCTCTTTGCGCCTTCGGGCTATCTTGCCCTTCCTTGGTCCCGTTCGTGTGCTTCTCGGGGCGGTTGTCGCGCTTGCGCTTCTTGGCAGGGTTCAGCGAGCTGGCGGCAGGCGATTGGGGCTTTGCGGGGCCCGGAGAGTTGGCCGCGTCATCGAAAACGGTGCGCACGCGTTCGGGCATGGTTGTTGTCTGAGGCTGTCGTCAAAGTGAGGCCTCACGAGAAGAGATGCGGTCGAAATTTTGGCAGGGATGGGGATTAGATTAGATTGCCGGGTCGCATTGCGCCGATGCCTCGGCACGTGCTCGGAACCCCGGCCCGAAGCCGAGGCCGAGATGCAATCTGACCGTGGCAAGGTGGGTGGGTGGCTTGACAAATTTTTACGCCTTGCCCTAGGGACTTGAAGATTGCAGGGAAATGAATTGGGAGTGCTGTTTATGCCGTGTTCAACTCCTTTGCGCAAAGTGTCGTGGTTTTCTTTTGTTTTTCGTAAAAATGATCGCCGTTTTATCCCAAAACTTCACCAGGCAAAAGACAACACCATAACCACCTCTCCCACCTTCATTCTGGGGAGCAAAAGGAACTCTCCGACGGGGAATCGAACCCCGGTCTCCCGCGCTTGATTGGAAGCCCAATGACAAGCGGAAATCATCACCACTAGACCATCGAAGAATGAGACACTGAGTACCTGATGGTTGAAGAAAGCTGCTGGCACATTATACTTATATTGTTACTTGTTTCTGTGACAGAAAGCACTCTTTTGGACACAGGTTACCCTTGGGCACCATTGGTGGAAGCGTGGAAAGCTTTCGAGGGTATGGGATCAGGGGTAGTGCTCGCTGACGAAAATATTCCGGCACGAACGCTAGCCTTTTTGGACGTAAATTCAAACACACTCTCCAGTAGAAGAATAGTAGAATTATGTAGAGCAAGTCGGGACTTGTTTGATTGTTATTGAATAAATACTTGAAGGATCCAAGAGTATACCCACATTATCTATAAAAAGGCTCCGGATAATTTCCCCACCCCTCAATCGTTCCAACTTAAGTTTGTTGTATCTACAGATTACTCTCTCGACAATCATAGTAAGTTTTGCCGTAATACTTGGGCGGTGCTAGGTAGACATGCTCGATGAGCAGAGTAGATAGAAAACCATATATTATATATGTTCGAAAGTAGAATGTATGAGAGCACGAGAACCCTTTATAATGGTAAGAGATCGCACAGTTGATCGGCGTAAAAGCCAGCCATATACTTCTGCAAGGTCGGGGACCGCATGAGAAATTTATCACCAAGAGCCAAACCATTTTTTCGATCTAACACAGTGCAAAGTAGTACGAGATATTTAAGGAGACGAGACTCTCGGCTTCGTAGTGGACTGCGAGATATCTCTATAAGAGTGTAAGAGTGGGCGGCAACGACAAATCACTCGTGCCAAAAGATTTTGCACGTACACATTATTATCGTGGTTGTAGCAGATATTTCTCCCGACTGTATCCAATCTCAGATAATTCAAAATCGATGTGAAGGTAGTTCATTGAGCTAAATATCAAACAGTGTGACAAAGAGTGTCGGAAAGCTGAAAGATTTAAAGCCAAAAGTGCAAGTCCCTCTTCCTATATTTTGCGTGCAAGAGCCGCCATTAAGGTGGCTGTGACAATATCCCAAAGATTTCCGAGAACCGGGGGACACGACTCGCAAGGTTTTTGAGAAAAGGTGGCTAGGCCGAAACGATGGTCCTTCGACACCAGCTAGGCATAGAACAATACTGCCGCTGTATAGCATTTATACACGACAATGTCGATTATCGTTGCCCAATATGGCCGCAAACCATCAATTTGTTGTGCTTGTAGCAAGTATCATCTCTAATGTCCTGTAAAACAGAAACATGCGAACTAGGAAATCAGAACATTTGTAAGTTGTTATATTGCAAACCAACGTCGAGGAGGCCGAGCAACCACCGGGGATGAGTGGAGTGTGGACATGTCAGTCTTTGGAGTTAGTGAAGGGCAGTTTAGTCGGGATTGCCACACTTGTGGAAGAGATAAGACTTTTTCTGCGGATATGCACTCGCACAGTACTTATTCTGGAAATAGTTCTAGTAAGTATAACTAGATACTTTCTCCGGAGTCTAGATATTCCTTAACGTATCCCTCGTTATTAGTCTTGAGATCCTTGTGTGTGACAACTGAGTTTGTTCAGGTTGCGGAAGTGCTTGAAGGCTCTCGCATAGGACAGATAAACTTCTAAATATTTCATGTTTTGACTTTCAAACACTGCAAGTTTGACTGTACTGAAGATTTTGTGAACGTTTAGGATGTTGATTAATCCACTGATGAAACTGTGATAATGACATAGTGTATTTATTATATTGACACCCTATGATATTCTCTTTCAATCTAGAAGCGACTCGAGAGTATCTACCTGTAATATCTGAATGCAAACGTTTGCTAAGTTATTAACCTCCACATATTTCCTACGTCGCACTATGAAACCTTACGCAACGTCAATACAAACCTTGCCCACATGCTGCGCACTCTCCAAATACTCATACGCCTTCAAAACCTCCTCCCTCTCAAACGCAAACACCTTCTCAACAGGCAAACACAATCCACGCTCCCCCACAAACCTAACCAAATCCTCCAGCATCTGGGTCGAGCCGACCAAAATCCCCCTAACAATCGCCGCCTTCCCCATCGCCAACATTGTCACATCCGGCATTTCGTCCTGCGGAATCCCCGCCAGAAACCCTATAGCGGCGACATGGCCGCCCATAGTGATGGCCTCGATGCTCTGCTTGATCGTGCCCGCGCCCCCGTTGTCGAAGACGTGGTCGACGCCGCGGCCATGCGTGATCTTGAGCGCTTCGGCGGCCCAGTTGGGCGTCGTCTTATAGTTGATCAGGTGGTCGGCGCCGTATGTGGCCTTGACGTGGTGGAGCTTGTCGTCGGAAGAGGACGTGACGATGGTGGTAGCGCCAGCGGCCTTGGCCAGCACGAGGCCGATCATCGAAACCCCTCCCGTGCCTTCGGAGCGTCAGTCAGTGGTCCGAAGCGCGAAAAAAGGCATTGAGAAGCGACTTACCTTGGAAAAGCACCGTCTGGCCCGGCTTGAGTGGATTGTTCCCGTACAGCGCGTTCCAGGCTGTCAAGCCTGGGCCCACTAGACACGCCCACTGTGCGAGACTCACCGAGGACGTCGCTGGCACCTTGACGACTGCTTCCGCGGGTAGCACGATATACTGTCTGAGCACGCCATCGACGGGTCCGCCTAGGGCGTGCACTACTGTTTGCTGCGGACCGTAGAGGTTCGTGGGGTCGAATGTTCCGATCACAGTGTCGCCTTTGGCTAGCGCTTTAGTTACGCTACTGCCGACTTCCACGATCTCTCCCGCGGCGTCGGAACAGGGGACTAGGTTGTCTTTGACTGGAAAGGGGTATTTGGATTTGGCGATGATGATGTCGCGGTAGTTGAGTGCGACGGCTCGGACGCGGATGAGGACTTCGCGGTTGCTGATTGTGGGGATTTCTTCTTGGATACATTGCAGGTCGTGGTAGGATTGGCGGTTGCCAGTGAAACGGAACACTTGCTGCGAAGGCATGGTAGGTCTTGGTTTAGCGGCTATTTTTCAACGATGTTGTCGATGGATGGAGGTGAAGTCTGGTCTGTGAGATGCCTGGAAATTGAAGTTTTGGTGCCATTTGTAGAAACTGGAAATTCATTTCGTCTACAACAACGGTGCTCACTAATGAAGATGTCCGGATCGACTTCCGAATTTACGTGTGGCTGAATAATCGGCCTACCCTTTGAGACAAACAGAGACCATTAGGGGCGAAAATAGTACTTTATTAGTAAGAGAGGCGGAACACGTATGCCTAAGTCTATAAGAATAGCGGAAGAAGAATATTTGGATTTATAAGATTCGCGGGAGGGTTTCGTGATAGGCAGAAGCACTTCCTACGCTATGCCGGAAATGGTATCCCTTCCGATCCATAACTAGGGAGCTATTGACAATTAGCATCTTACAAATCAACATGTCCGTTGACAAGTGCATAATAACGTCTTGCTTATGGTAGATTCGATCTCACCTTTATCCCCTCGAGTTTCAATACCGCTTCTCCACTCAAGACTGCGCTACACACTCTCCCGCGTAAATTCATCCACTGGCCGCCTACCGTCTCTTGCCAGCCATCTATTAAAAAGGTTTGCCTATAGCTCTAAACATGACATCGTGAAAATTAAGTATGCAAAATAAACCCGCTAGCGGGAAAGAAAAGAAGAAGAAGAAAAAAGAGAAGAAAAGAAAGAAAGAAATAGGAAAAA